GGCCGAAAAATCTGTCTCAATATTGCCTCCTTTGCGCGGTTTTAGAATGGCATCACTCAATTTTAATCAATTAACTACTTATATAGACGAATTAAGAATCATATTAGCAAACAATGATATCGATATTGTTTGCATAAATGAAACGAAACTGAACGAGAGTATTCAAGATCATGAAGTTCATATTCCGGGATACGAAATAGTTCGCCGCGATAGACTAACAAAATGCGGCGGAGGGGTATGCTATTATGTAAAAACTTCAATCAACTTTACAGTACGAAATGACCTACATATGGATGGATTAGAAAATCTTTGCTTGGAAATCCATCAGCCAAATTCAAAATTTCTTGTGATTGTAACCTGGTACAGACCACCTGACTGAGCCAGGTTACAGCTACAAAATCGCTTGGTGTAATAAAAGAACGATAAACTCGATTGGCATGGTCACATTGAAAAACTGACGAAAAAGATCGCCTCTGGTATCGGGGCTCTAAAGCGAATTAGGTACCTGATCCCAGTATCAACATTACATCTCATTTACCAAGCTTTAGGAAAACGTCACTTTGATTACTGTGACATTGTTTGGGGTAGTCGTGGCAAAACGCTACGAGACAAACTGCAGAAATTGCAGAATAGAACAGCCCGTGTGTTGACATTCTCTAACTATGATGCTGATGCAACTGAGCTACTCGAGTTTTTAGGGTGTAAAAATCTTACACGCCAGCAGGAAATCCATAAAGCCACCATGATGTTTAGATGCCTGCACGGGCTAACTCCAAGGTATCTATATTCAAAGTTTACGTGGCGTGACTCTGCTTATGACCTCAGGGACTCTGAAAATAAGATTAATGTTCCACTACCGCGCACTAATTATTACAAAAAAAAGCTTTAGCTACAATGGCGCCGCATTATGGAACAGTCTACCACGCGATAAAAGGAACGCAGAGTCTCTGGGGTTATTTAAACGTAAGATCAATGACATTCTTTACGTCTAACGCACGGCATTCACGGAAAACAGCTTTAGTGTTGTAGTATGTAGTTTTAATTTCAAATATCTTAGCGTATGTGATATGTATTTTTATAGGCTGATGAATATTGATCGTGTTTAAATAAAGATCATATTTCCAATGACGAAGAGTCAGAGTGGCTGGAAACTATAGGTCCAAGTTTATTAGATGAATCGAGCCAAGGAAAACAGCTAGACGACCAGGAACAACGCGCCAATTCCGTTCCGCTTCGCATACTTCTGTCACGCACTCCCCTTAAATAAATATCCGCGAAATTCGCCCGCACTGAAATAACAGTTTGGCGTGTTGAATAATAAATAACTTATTAGACGTTTTGTTGTGTAGTATCGCTGAGTATTTTTACTCGTTATTTGTATTTTGACTCGCCCTACGGTTATTAAACACGATCAATTCATGTAATATGTTGGAAAAGTTACATATCATTAGAAAAATACATATCACACACGCTAAGATATTTGAAATTAAAACTACATACTATAACACTAAAGCTGTTTTCCGTGAATACCGTGCGTCATCCTCGGAGACCCAGGGGCTGTGAGTCGATTTCAAGTTAAGGGCAGAAGAGCCCCTGGGGACATTGTCTTACAAGACTAGTTTCAAACGGTCGCAGTCGTTCTGCCATCTGATTGGTGCCAGAAAATCTTTGTGTTTTTCTGCCCAATCAGAGTGAAGTGTCCTTTGGTGTATAGGGGAATCCTTGTTTACAATATTTGCCTCATTAGCATAAGCAATTCAGTTTCTGATGGAGCTAAAAATAAATCAGTTCTGAATATCGAAAGGTCAAAGTACGATTAACTCGGCCAATGAATACGAGCCTGATGCATTGAATACTTTTTGTGCAACACGGGTTTAAAAACTCAAAATTTTACATAGAATGTATGAGCTCATTAGCGCTTTTGCCACCCAGAAATTTTGCAGTTTTTGATGGACTATTTCTCCTTGAATATTACACCCAAAGAGCTAAAAATTTCACCATGTACTGAGGTTTACTAGCTCTTTAGCTGCCTGAAGTCAATTTGTATCGAACATGCTTCCTTCTTTACGCAAAGCTGTATGCAAATGAGCAAAAATGTAAACAATGACATCAGCATGAATCCGCCTCTACAAAATTCACCAAACTAACATCACAAGAACTGTATGGCAGACAGCAAGGAGAATCAATAAGGAGATCTTGGGAGTGAAAGGTTAAACCTGAGTAACTGTTCTGGACACTTCATAAAATCTGAAAGGAATTATCGGCATCTGTTCTGATGTCGAACTCTTGACACATTTGTTTCCGGATCTATTGTCGTCTTCCTCATATTTCGATACTGCTTTTAAAAAATTTTGTCTGCAGAACGTTACGTCAGATGCTATGTAAACGATATTGTAAAACAAAGAAATTCCCGTCTGCTGCATCTATATCCCGCAAGGAAACCTGCACAGAAAGAATCGTTAATTTCGTGAACTTCTGGAGCTTGGCTCAGTAATGTAATCTCTAAAGGTTACTAGTATAGCGGAGAAGACAATTCGAACGCACAATAGAAATCACGGTTTAGTTAAAGGAGGTACGTAACGCAAAATTGCAAACGAAAATAAAGAGATCGATGTGAAATCACAGATGAAAAGGGCGAAGTATAAATTGAAGACGGTAGTTATGATTGATGGTTGTAGCTGAATTTGTGTTGCTGAATTTATGTGGCTAAGTTTGTATGGTTCGAACTAAAAGAAAATACAACAGAAACTAAACGAAGAAAATATCCCTGAGAAATGTCACACCTAGCCTCATTAACAATGGAGCGATTATGGAGTGAACTGAAAACGCGAAAGAAACCATTGTACGAACCATAAAAAAGGAAATTTCTCAAATGTAAAATAAAGAAAAACTTACTTTGGTATAGCTCTTAATGATTGTAGGTAACTCACTAATAGCAGATGATTCGTGAATAGCAGGCAAAACAACAGTTTAATACACAATATCTAGTACATGTGCTTAGAGTTACTTCCCACCTTCAGAGGCCGAAAAAATCGTTTTTTCTGTAATTGGACTAGATTGAAGTTCGATATTTTACCGAACGTTTACAAAAAGAAAAAATTTAAAATCTCAAAAAGCGTCTGACTTATTTAGGAAAACGTATTTTCAAATAAAAGTTAATAAATCAGGAGGGCGTCATGATCTCGTAAATGGCGAACCTTCTGGGGGAATACTCGCGGCAATTTCATATCATTTACATATTTTGTTTACATCGCACACTTGACAAAATTCACACGCGAAAGTTATCTGCTGGTGGAAAGTCTTTTCTCATGGATAAAAAACAGAAATCAAAATTAGAGAGGAGTCCCTGGGCAAAGAAAAAGAAAAAAACAGGCCCAAATGAGAAAGAAATGGCAACATTTTGTCAGGAAAAAAAAACAGTCCTGGCATCCAAAGGACGAACAAAGAAGTC